GCTACAGTTTTTCAGTGTCTGCCCGTAAGAAGTTAATATGCACTGTTACCGTTGCTCCACCAAGTTCCTGATTGCACTGGCTCAGAAAAGACGACTTTACCAAAAGCCACAGGTACCGTCCTGGCTTTCCATTTAACTACAGTTGGGATTTTTGGAGGTGCGAAGCTGGGAGGCCTGGCCAGTAACCTCGTCTGCCGGAGAGCCCTTCTGGTAGCCTGCCCTTTATCCTCAAGCTCACTGGCTAGATGAAAACGTCACTTCGGAGGAGCCCTGTTCCTTTTGAAGGAGTAGCTGCCTCTGCTCATCGTGAGCTTTACTGTACTTCCTGCCGGGGCATATTTTACAGAGAGGCAGAGGGAGGAAAGGAGGCTGTTTCCCTTTTCTTAACTAGAGTTACTAAGTAATTAGTTTCAATTCTGCTTTTAGAACAGCATGGTCTGCGAGGTTGTCACCAGTTTCTCTCTGAGATGAATGTGAGGAGGGAGCATTATCTATGAGGAGACCAAATCTCACTGCTCTTGAATCTTGTGGGGATGTATACAGAAGAGAATGAATGTTTATACTGCAGCTGCCATGTGATACGCTCTTGGCTAATAATAAACAGAAGAACACAGAAGTGTCTAGAATATAGAAAACCCCAAACGATGATCAACAAACGATTTACCATCCTTTATATTTCTTCCATGAAGGCATGGGTTTGCCTTTTATTTAGACTATATTACTTAATATTAAGAAGATAGGAGCCATTTCCACTGTAATGTGCCAAGACCTGTTTGTCAAATGTATGCCTTCTGTCCATTATAAACAAACATGATCTTTTTGAAGTGCTGTTGTTGCTAATACTTCCACCTGGGTTTTCATTTGAGGAGCTCTGCTCCGAAAGCCTCACAAATACACAGCAGAGTAGTCCGAGTAAATAGGATCTCTCCCATACGAATGTGCTGTTTGTAGCACGAGGGCATGACGGATGCCAGCACAATCCTGTAAGGTCTGTGGATGTCCTGAAGAAAATTACTTTGATGCCGGTAGCCTTTGGATTAGCGATGTCGCAAATCGGAAGCAAAGCCCTGGGTACATGAGCCTCCTAGTGCTTTTTCTAGACTTGCTAGTATTAGTCTGTGCCCACAGATCCTTGAATTTTTGCTTTAGTTAGTCTTGGCCCCCAATTTGATTTTGTGCTTCATTTTACGCTACGCTTTCTCTGCGTATCTCTTAGCTGGCACTTCCTGGTTTTGCCTGGAGTGGAAAAGGAAATAATGTGAGAGACAGTCTTTGCAACCCGTTTCACACCCTCCGATATCAGGAAGGGCTGGAAGTAGCACGAGGGAGCCCATTCTCACGCTATTTCCTGCCGCCGGCCGTGCCGGCTTTTCTCCTGCCGCCTGCCATTTCGGGGAAGGAGAAAGCACGGGGAGGTGGCTGGTCTAGGTGCAGAGTTGCCTTTCTCAAACTTCAGCACCAGCAGAGCCGCTCCGATAGCTTGAAACTGTGCCAGGCTGCTTCAGAAGAGTTTTATGAGAAGTATTTTTTAAGATGTTTGTTTTTAAAATACTTATCAAAGAAAGGGGGGGAGTGCAGCTATTAGCCGACTGCTGTGCAGGGCTGCTAAAGGATCAGCAGATGTGGACGCGCTGTTTTTTTAATTTCTAATTTGTTATGGGTTGTAAATTCTTTATATTTTTATTAAGATTTATGGTGTGTTTTATTTCTGGATTTGCTGACCTGTAGAAAGCAATTAAGAGCCCCGATCTGAGCA